AGAAGCATTCCAGACATGACAAAAGGACACTGCAGGCTTGTGGAATGATTTCTAAACCATTATGCCTCATCCAGTGGAGGAGCTGGAGTTGCTCCTGTCCCAGGAAGGGGGGAGGATTTATGTGGCAGAAGTGAGAGAGAAGTGGGAGATAAATGAGAAGGGGAGAGATGCTTTGGGGAAAATGTGACTTTATGAGGGAAATCAGGCAGTAAAACCACACTTCTCAGCAGTGGATGGAGACAAACTGTATTTTCTTGCAAATCCTTTACTGCCAAAAGCCACTTGCTATGAGACTGAATCATTGCTGTTGCTGACACAGACAGGAGGGGCTCCCCATGTGCTCACTTTACCTCATTAGCTCCAGCATATGAATGTGACAGGGCTAGGAGGGAGTAGAGGAAAAACACAATGAACTTCAAAGGTTCTGGCATTATGGCAAGTGGAGACTCTAGCAGCAAGCATGAACCAGAGGATCCTCTGTGGCTGACATATGGGAGTCCAAATTAGACCCAAACCTGTTCTCTGATAAGGAGAACCGAAGGAATAGCTAATGGCTCCCCTCTCCCCTTCAAGAGCTGAGTTAGGCATATATAGAAGATATCATCCTGAATTAATATAAAAATATCAATTTTTCTGGTTCTTAAAATATTTTTGTTTTGCAATCTAGTAACACAAGGTTGTCATGCTATCAATCGTGGAAGTGCAAAAGATGGAGAAACAGTCATCAGTGATCTATAAGAAAACACCTCAGAACTGAAATTGGTGTCATGGGGCATCCTTAGAGAGATAACTGTGATGGAAGACAGATCCTAGAGAAGGTCTATGTGACCTGGAGCACAGTATGTGTGATGGATGCATAGATTTTATGTGAAACTAGTGGACTCCATGTTATTAGATCAGTCATGAGTGTGTCAGAAGCAAGGAGGTGCCATAGCTGTTATTGTTTGATGGGCATTAAATCAGCCATTCTATGTTTATGCTTTGCAATATAGTCTTTAATTACCTGATTGCATACTTTTTTGTTGGAGGATCTGTCTCACCAACTGTTCAGGGTGAACTCTGTGGGATAAATCAGCTGCATAGCAAAGCACTGTTACGTGCAAGACTGCCTTGTTGCTGGAGGCACAGAAAGGCACAGACTGAGTGACTCAGTGATCTGCCTGCAGGAACAAAAGGGCTAGCTGCTGAGCAAGTCATCTGACATCAAAATTCCCAGAGGCTGCTGCTAATTGTATCACTAATTTTGTGGGTAGCTGTGATATCATAGTATATGGCATTGGATGTGTTTTGCAGCAGTATTGGCAAAGTACAACTGCAGTGAATGCTGATTAATGTTGTGCCATGAACAAATGAATTACTATTGATATTGTGGTCAGCACAGGACAAAATTGCTCTGAAGGCGTCCCAAAAATATGCACACATTTTTGTTGTTGTTGGTTTGTTTTGTCTGAGCAATAGGAAATGTGCCAAATTCATTTAGAAGTCTGTTTTGCAAATAAACATGAGTGATGTGAAGCTCTGGGATTAGCATTGGTAGTGAAGGTTAAAAAAAATTCTTTAATGCTACATATTGTATTTATTGAATCATACAAGGAAGAAAAAAATTCCCTTTAGAGTTTGGTTTGCTGTTGTACATATGCCCATGTAAATAGCTGGGAAAAAGACATCCTATTTCTTTTTTTTTATTATTATAAGGCCATATAGAACAGGTTTTATACTTTATTGCACAGAGTTGAACCACTGGGACAATTTGGGCCTAAACTCATCCACTTGTTTACTCACAGGCATGGGGAGATGGGGATTTTAAGGCAACTGAGTGAATTGGCCAGCTAAGTCAGGCTGAGCCATTTCTGCCAAGCTTATGGGCAGGAAGAAGGGGGTGTCTGCAACAGGTCTGACATAGAGGGGAGGTGCAGAGTCTGTATCACAGTCCTTCAGGAGAGGTGTTACTAGTAATTTGTTTTTTCCTCACAAAGGACTCTGCACTTGTATAAGCATAAGGGGAAATCCACGGGCTGGCATCATGGCACAGGGTTGTCCTACACCTTTAAGCCTGACAGTGCTGGCCCTGCTAAGCACAGGGCTTTCTTTGGTCCTTGTGCTTCTCCAGCCTTGTCAGTCCTGGCTCTATTCCACAACATGACCTCCATCTTGCTGAGTCTGATAAGAAGCAGGAGATATTGAAGTTTCAAATAAGTGCTTTGATATGTCAGCTAGCTCTGCTGTGACTGAAGATCCCACTAGGTTTTTCTTCCATTTTTAAGCATTCACATGATCTGCAGTTCTGACTCTCCAGAAGATATTTTGTCATTGATTTCATTTTTTTTATGGTTTCTACTAACCAAACAAACCAAACAACAGTACAGGCGTCCACTATAGTTGTGAAATAAATGGAGAAACCATTCCTTTGATTTACAGATAGTAGCAAAATCAAGACAAGAGAGACTTGGAAAAGCTAGTTCTAAGTAGAGAAGAAAGGAAATACTAGAGAGAAAGAGGTAGCATAGCTGGACCTATGTATCTTTTAATTTTGTTTTATTTACTGAAGAAAGCAGTCATATTAAGCTAATCTTGCCATAGTGGAAATGCTGTCACAGCTTGAAGCAGTGATTGAGCACCTGGTGGGAAGGCAGGGCCAACCCAGTGGAGCTCAGGTGCATGCAATGCAGCTGAATGACCAGAAGGGATGGAGACAGGATCCACCCCTTCCCAGACCTCATTTAAGGGCTGGCAGTGGAGGTGAGGGCATCTTGCTGGAGATCCCTGTGTATCTGAGGTCCTCTGAAGGTAAGTATGTTCTTTCATTTTGTTTCTGTATCCACAGCTATTGCATTTGAGCAAGTCCTTGTTTGCTGCAGCCTAAGACTTTACTACTGTGCTGTTGTTGCTATGTTTTCCATTGTGTTGCACTTACCAAATCCTGATGAACTTAAAATATTTGCAGGGCTGGTCATACCCCTAAAAGCAATGCTCTTTACAGGTATCTTGTAAGTTAACTTCTAGCAGAACTAGAAAAACAAAATATATAGGACATCAGTAGAGGCAGATGATCACACCAGGGAAGGGGGGAAGAATGTGTTCATTGACTCTGGCTCACAACTAAGGAATTAAACAAAAGGTTCAAGTATTATCACTGCTTGAGTCTCAGTTTAATGAGGTACTTAAGTATATGCTTAATTTAAGCTTGCAAACTGACTTGATAATTTAGAAGATGACCTCAGCAGAGGTGTTCTAAGTGTTTTGTTTTGTGTTTTTTTTTTTTTTTTAATCTCAGAAATATTAAATTGTTGATGTTTAAGGACAAATGTATGTCTAAAAACATATATAATTAAACTTAGCTTTGGGGTCTGTAGCAGCAGATAAATGTTTACTTATGGTCTCTACAGAAAAAATTAGGCCCTAAAGAGTTGCTTGCACTGAATACAAGATCTGCTCCACACTTATTACAATCCTGAAGTTGTCCCTGTCAGACGGCAACAAGAAGTTCTCTAACTGGATGGCTGAGAGCAAGCAACTCTTATTTCAACTCACTTATCGTTGAGGATGTTTTCCCTGGGGTGACTGATGTTTAATAGACAGCCAGAGTGGAAACAGAAAAGGAGACTTAATTTTTTTCAGTTCCTATTTGCTCTACGCTTCTCAATGTTTCCGTGATAAAATGCATCTGATTTTGAGAGAGATTTTTGGTAAGATCCATGCAACATAATTTGTGTCTGTTACACAAACTATCTCCTCTTCTCTGTATAGAGAGGCAAGATACAAGCTATTCAACCTAACCCAAAATCTAAGAAACACCTAAGAGATGCTCCAGTAAATTTAGATAAGGTATTAAAAGTTTTACTGCTTCCAGTGTTCGGTGGCTCTGCGGAACAGAAAACACCAGTTTCATAATTCACAGACTGCTTAAGTACAATAAGTTTTTTCCTTCATCCTAGAAAACTGTTGGGAGTGAGGATTGTGTAAGCTGATTGTCAATTTTGAGGCTTTTGATTTAGGAATGTCTTGCTTTTCAAAAAGTTGTGTGGATGAAAAGGCTGAAATGACTCTATAAGCGCTTGAAGCAGTCAGCTTTGTGAAAGACTACAGCCTTTTGGCCCCATGCATACACTATTTCAGATATTTACAGCTTTCACCCCATCACTGGTTAGTTTAGAAAGATCTTAAGATTATTTTTTTTGGTCCCAAAGTCGGAGTACAATGTTCCTTATCTGTCTAATACTAAAAGTGTTCACAGTTCCTGCAAGAGGATATAACAAACATACTCTGCTGTTGCTTATGGAGGAAAAACTGGTTAAACAGTCATGAAACTTCTGCTTCTTTTGTGAACGCATTCACAGATTCCAAGAGCTATTCAAATGCAAGGATAAACATAAACATTTCTGCACCAAGCAGTCCTTATTGACAGCGTGATGTTTGTCATTCTTACTTTGAAAGCTTTAGTTGCCAGTTCTGTGAGCAGCATTCATCCTTTGTAATTCCATGAAGATGAACAGCCAAGACTGAAAACTCAGCAACAGAAACTTGCCCTCCAGTGCAATTCAGTGAAAACAAACACATTCTCTTTCGGTTGAAATGCTCCCCAAAAGGATGAAGTAAAAAGATGAAGTGCAGAATAGTCATTAATATAATACCATAGACCATACTAAAAATAACAATTATAAAATCTAATTAATATTTAATCAGAGACCTGGAAAGTCTTTACCTTATTGCTTGCCCTGACTATATTTCTCATAGTCTGAATAATAACAAAATATTTTCCTTTTCAGTTGTATTTTCAGTGGCAATTAGAGTGGTATATTGGGAATCTTACAACTAAGTGTTTGAAAATCCCAATAGGAATTGATCTTCCAAATCCTCATTTCTTTTTTTAATTAGTTTTATTGAAGTGTTTGTGTGTGGTGAAGCAATTGCTAAGTGTGTGACCTATGACTACTGCAGAACACATACTACTTAAATCTAGAAGCTCTGAGCACAATTCTAATCTTTTTTTTTTTTAATAGGATAATGGCATCTCTTGTTCTTACATGTCTACATTTTGGAGTGATCTGCCATGACCAAGCCTTTTTATGCAGGTGTAGCAGATCAGAAACATGTTTTGATCATTCACTTCCTACAGTAGTATCATCTGGCACTGCAAGGGTGTCTTATACATATGGTTGTGAGCCCATAATTCTCCCAGAAGAAATGGCTTATTTGTGTGTGTTCCTCTCAGGAAATCCTTCAGGATTCCTACCCTGGAAGGAGCCATATAATCAATGGAGTGACATGTCTGGAGCTGTTAGACAAAATCATGCTGGCTGTACACAGTGAAATCTTGGACACTTTTCACATACTGAACTTCAGAGGCTCAAACTGGGATCTTGGAGGATGACAGCATAAGATCTTGTGTATAACTTGAGGCTTGGAGGCCAATAGCAGGATCTGGTGGGTGCCTCCCAATCTCCTATACAAAAAAAAAACCCAAAAACAAACAAACAAAAAACTAAACATGCCAAACTTCAGAGTACAGATAGTGATAAAACAAGGTTCAAAGCAGGCATAAGATTTGGTGGAGCAGACTTCCACTCTTGCTGTCCTGCCTGTGTAGAATGCAGTCTCATCTGTTATGGTCCTGCAGACAGATTGTAGGAAATACTTCCTTCCTCTCCTCTCATCCACACCTCTTCTCCTCATTGCCACAAAACCATCACCCTATTGCCCACAGACTTCTTTTGGCCTTGAGAAGCATTTCATGGACTTCCAATGATGAAAAACAAATCTGTTGATGACAGACTAGGATTTGTTAATAGGGCTATGGTCTGCTGAGTGTGCAAGCCTACTTGTACACGATGTGTTGCTTTCTTTCTGAAAAATAGCAAAGGTAACTTATCTGTAATTGTAATCACTGCATTTCTTTTGATATCTGAAGAGTTGCTACAATACAACTCTTTTCTTGCCTGTGCTTTGGATCTTAATCCAGTACAGGTCAGTCTAGTCCTGTGTTATAGATGTTCCTGATTAGTTCTTAACTTTCATTACTGATCCTATTGACATGAGCCATATCTGTAAATTAATTTGCATTGAATAAATGAAAGCAAGGAAAAGTTGGGGAAATTAAATCCCACCAAAAATCAAACAGCTTGTGAAGTGTGGTGTCTAGAACATCTTGTGTTGGCCTTGTGCATAAAAACTTGGGAATGCAACAGCTATTACATGTCATTCAGCAATTTCCTGTATGAGTCAGTAAAAAAGTATTTCTGCTCAAGAAACTGGCAGAAACCTGAGGTTTTTAAGTCATTTGAAAGTGGAGAGGACGATGCACTTTAAAGCTTACTTACAGAATGTATGATTTCAAGTGTGCCCACAGCCCTGAACTAGCCTTTAATGTCTGGGAAGCATTTAGAGGTTCTTCAATCCAGACTGCAAAGGTCGCTGAAGAGTTCTCAAGTCTTTGGCTGAATTTTAGACTCAGCTCAGAAGGTCTGTTCTAACTCTACTTTCTGCATTAGAAAAACTCATTTCTCATACATAAAGCCAACTCTACATTCGGTTGAATTTTACTTTCACTTTGCAGAAATGAGGGTATGCCGTTTCAAGCATCTTCAGGGGAATTTGGGCTAATCTGCCTAAGGCACACCATTAAAATTAAATCTAAGCAGTTGTCTTCAGGACGTCCATATTTACTGAAGTATAAAAAGTGGTTATTCTGTCAATGTCTCTTTTGTGGTAGAGATAATTCACGTATACCTAAATGCCAGGTCATACTCGTTCTCTCAAGTGCATGGTGATGACCTTGTACAAGTGAGATCATTTTTTTCCTCCTCTTGCTCTTGGCTGTGGCTCCAAGTATTGCCTTAGTCTGTGCAGCAGCATCTCCTTACTGCGACCAAGGAACCCTTGAAAATTTGTGTTCCCTTTGAATTCACAAAATCCTTCCTAACCTTGGAATTCAGACTACATGTCCACTCTGTTTCTCTCCTTATTGTTGCTGTAGTTCAGCTAAGGAAGGCATCAGCAGCAATCTGAAGGAAAAATACTTGGAAACGTTCTCGGAATTTGTTCTATAGTTAGTGTGGAGGCTATGGGAGAATGAAGCACACAGTACAGTGGAAGATGTGATTCCATTTGATCGGAATAAACTTTAATGAAATCTGAGCTGCTTATAGGAAAAAAAAGGCCACAACTCAAATTGGAGGGCACTGGATTTCCTTTTCCTTGTGTTATATTACCCTCTAGTGGTTGAGTCTTTGTGCTTCATCTGAAGTAAGGACAAGAAGTTAATGGGGATTTTTGTGCAATGTTCTTTGATCATCCCTGGCCTCTAAAATCGTAACGTGTTTTAACTTAATAAAAAAAATCATAGTAGTAGAAAAAGGGGGGTGGGTGGAAAGGGGGAAATTCTGATCAGCTGATCTTTGGGGGGGAGGGGGGATGTGACAAGCAGTAATTTCAGCAGAGTTGAAAGAATGGTCCTCAAAGCCAAAAGATAAAGAGTCACAGTAGGAAGATAAAAATACACCCTAAATATCAATGAAGATCTATTGGTATATTCTCTAACATCTTTCTGTTCTAAGTGAGCAATGGCATTAATATTAAAAACTTAGGAATGGACAAGTATATTAAACTTGCTTTTTTACTTCTGGTTGTCATGGAGACACAATCATTCAAGGTTCCTAGGGAATAAAATTGTTTTAAATTTCAGCTATTTCTGATTTCAAATTCTTTCAAGGGTTTTGAAAGGATTTATGTAATTGTTCAGGTTGTTCATTCTCAGTCCTTCTAAAATTATCAGCCAGAACAATGTGTCTATTAATATTAATGGATTAACACTCTCTCATCATTAATTTCAGTTAAACCAAGAATATAAATCTCAGAACAATCATGGAATTGTCACACTTTTTTTTTTTTTTTAAGAAGATTCAAGTGCATACTTCAGAGCAGTTATGTTTTATGTTTTCCATTGGTTACATTAGTAGTTCTCAGTGAGTACTCACAATGTACTGCTTGCACAGCTATGATTAATCAGTTATGTGATATAAGCTCTGCTCTGGCAGAGTGACTTATGTAAATAACCAGTGTGATTCTAATTATGAGTATAAGAATAGAACATTCAATTTGGAATTATGGTTAGGGTATGATTCCATTGTTTACTAGAACTAACACAAACAATTCAAATTTTTGTACCTGTCCAACAGCTACACATTCCATGCAATATGTTTAATGGCACAATTTTCCTCTAGCAAGCCTTTCCATAAGAATTATATCAAAGTAAACTCAGCAGCATTCTTGATGAAGATTTAAAAAAAAATAAAAAATACTATTGGAAATTCCTTCAGGCTATATTGAAGCTTGGAACACCAAGCACTTGAATATTAGTGAATCACAAAACCATTCCCAAAATATGAGCACATGAACATCTGTTTGAAACCAGAACAAAAACATACAGAACTTTCTCACTCCATCTGTAGGAGTCCAAAAACCAAGCCATAGGTTTGGGTTTCTTCTGATTCTCTCGAAGTGAGATGGATGCCAGAAGAGCATCCTCTCTGTCAGTGCAACTTCAGTATAGCAAAGCTCAGGCACTGTTGGTAACATTATATGTTTTACAGTCCCTGAGAGCTGGGTTCTCTGAGCGATCCTACGTAGCAGTGTAGATTAGTTGAATCTGACAGTAACACTGCTAGTGTTAGCATGTGCTAACCACAGTGATATTTGGGGTCGTGTAACTCTTCTCTTGTTCCTTCCCTGCTTGACAGAGACTTGTCAGTGAGAGGTTCCTTGTGTCCCCTGCCACCTGAAGGCCAGAGCTTCTCCTAAGGCATTTCTAGGGCTTCAACAGCCCACCAATCCTATGTCCTGTGTGACAGTCAATTGCTGAAAATTATACTGTCTTGGAACCAGAAGGAGAACTTTCAGCAATCTCTGTATGCAGCAGCAGCTCTACTTGCATTTTCAAGGTTCCTCTTATTGTTACTTTCTAAGTCTTTCGTGAGCAGGGCACAATGCTAATAGTAGGGTGAGTGCTAATGTAAGTTAAACAAGACTGTTCTTAATATTAGATTTAAAAGACCAGAATATGAGAAAAGCAAGGGAGGCATTGTGCCAGCCTCACTTATATTTCTTACACTTACAGGGAGTGTTCCAAGGTCACATGGGACCCAAAAAAAACCTAGATTCAACTGAGAAGGTTGGGGTGAGCCTGACTGTGCCATGATGGTCTGGGATGAAAGAGAGACTGTATCTCATAACATCTACAGGAGGAAACATCCTATGGTATACATACAGACAAGGATTAATCTTCCAATGAAACTGAAATGAAGGGTAGACATCAAGCCATTGAAAAAAGATCACCAGCTCAAAATTCTTGAGAGTCACATCTTCAAAGATGTTTCTGCCATGGCTTGTGCTTATCTCTGTGTAAGTCCCTACAGTTTCTTACGATTTGGCTTTTTTTGTTTTGTTGCCAACATGGACAAACCTAAACAACAACAAAAAGGTCTCAGGTTTTCTTTGACCCTTCGCAGGCAAGTGTCACTTACACAGTCACAAAGCACTCCCTGTGTTTGTATCCTCCTCTCCTTGCTGACACGGTTGCCAGCATTCTAATAAATGTTGGAGCTTCTCAAAAATCTCCTTATCTCACTTCTCAGTATTCGTGGTACGTCATAAGGAATTAATTTGTTCTCCCAGGTTAATAAAGATGAAGTCAAATCCTCTTCAGGATCTTAAGGTGAGGCTTTCTGTGATGTTTAGCTCAAATATTGATGGCTTGTGTGAGAAGAAATTGTCTCATTTTCTCACTGCAAAGAACAATCACAACATAAGAATATAGGAATACCTAAAATCTTTTCATGATAAAGCAGATGTAGAAACTGCTGAGAATGTCACCATAAGCTTCAGACTTTTTCCACCCGCAATAAGTCCAGTCAGTGCAGTACAGAAGAGCCTCTGTTTTTACTATCCCTATTGATTTCGGCCTTAGAGGCAGTGAGGGAATTACCACTAAAACTCTAGAGTCTGCTAATGACCCTTAGTGGGGCTTCAGAGATGGCTTATTTCCCAAAAATTGAATTATTTTTCAGTAAAATCATTCTATTTTAATCTTGCCATACCTTGCCTTACCTTGCTTTGTCTTGTAGGGAAACTGCTGTTTGCTTCCTTCCAAGGTTCAGAGGTAACAGGACACAGGTGCTAGCTCACAGCTAGTTCCTCGATGAGACACCTTCCTAATCACTTTTTTTTTTTTTTTTAGGGTATAAATTACTGATGTGAGCAGCTTTATAAAGCAACGTAAAATTGGGAAATAAAAATGTGTTGGTTTGGTTCTATAGTTTTTTTTTTTTTTTTAATATGCTCATGGGGATCTTGTTCTGATGCTCTCTTTTAAAATAAGTATGATTTAGTTCTTTAGGTTCATATATATATTCTGCTGCTTTCTAGCAAGAGATTTCTGCCTGGTTCTCAGTGTGTGAGTGTATGGCATAGTTTAGCTGCTGTATTTTTAAAGCTTTCTATTAGACAGAACTATCTCTGAATTGGTCTTAAAAACCTGCATTTTCTCCTGGTTGGAAATTCTAATAAGTCTCTTAGCTATGAAGTTCAAGTCACGTTTACTATCCTAAGAAAATTTCCTTTCTTTTATTGTATTCCTTTTTTGTGTTTGAAATTAATTCAATATTAGGAAATAAGTGAAGCAAAAAGCTAAATATTTAAAGCAAATTTGGTAAATGTATAAACTTCATTAATGACCAACTGGATGTTTCTGATTAAGATGGTGGTAAAAGCTCTTACATCACTGCAAACAAGTTTCTTGTTCTCCTCAAAAAAAAAACAAACCATAATTACAGTGTGGTGGTATTATACTTCAATTTTCCAGTGTAATGAGTGGAATAAACATGCATTTTCTGCACTGCTTTCTTTTGTTCCTACCTTTGGGCAACGCTTCTTCACATGGTAACTTCCTTCAGGTCAATATGCTGCTCCAGCATCCTGTGCATGAGGTGGTGTGCAGCTGGAGCACAGTCATGCTGAGTGGAGGAGACCCTCCTCAGCTCTACTCTTTAATGTGAATGTAGTATCATCAGTGGCACAGATATCCACCCCTCAAAATTAGGAAAAGCTTTGACCGATGAAGGAAAAAGAAATTTAAGGAAGTGTTGCTTTATGGGAAGAATATCAGACAGCAAAATAAAACTGCAGCTTTTCCTTCAGCATCAAAATGGAGTAGTTTGTTTTCGTTCTATTCTTCATCTGCCTTGTAAGTAGAATCCGCTTCATTTCTAGGTATTTTCTCTAAGCTTCACTTTAACAGCCTTAGCATAATTTTTTTGCTTTGTCTTCAAACTTGAAACTTCACATTTCTTTTTAGGCTTGGTTTTCTTTTCTAATAGAAATTCAGGTTTCTGGATGCCTCTCTGCTGGGACTATTTGGTACAGCAGTGGTGGTGCTGAACCTGGAAGCCCAAAGTCAGCAGCCAACAAGAAAGTCTGGATTACTCCACTGAGCTGATTTAACTTGTGTGAACAAATGACAGCTTTGTTACTGTTTTTCAGAGGCTTCTGCCTCACAGCCTGAATCAAAGGTCTTGACAGTCATCCAGATTGCCTCAAGGTTTTGGTGATAATCTGACCTTGCTCTATGGGTATTTGCCAGCTAGATTGCCAGTAGTAGCTTGAAATTTTGATTCCACCCACACTTGACTTGGAAGAAATATAAGTGCCAAGTATAAAAGGGCAAAGAAAACTAAAATACTAAGGTTGTTGACAAGATGATTCATCTTAAAGTTTGTGTAAGCCCTGTCTGACATCTTTTTCCCCGCTCACACAAATCTATTGCAGTGGCAGAGGAGAGGGAAAAAACAATTCAAGTGTTACTTCACAAAACTTCTGTTGTCATATCGGTGAGCAACTGAGCAATTTTGCTTGAGTAATTATGTGAGCATGATACAGTAATATCAGAAAATGGAGATCCCAGTGAAATGCTTCCTGGGGTAGTCTTGGCCACTCAAGGCATAGAAGGCATTTCTTGTACTGGGGCTACATTGATTTGTTGTTAATGTCCAATAAGATGACAGCAAAAAAAAAAAGTGCATCTGTCAATCAGTGGGCATATAACTTAAGCCCTCCTGTTGGACTTAATCTTGGTTATCTTCCTAAAGACAGTTCCCCATTTGTTTTGACTACCACACATTTGTTAGAACCTACAATGGAAAAGGGAATTTTTGGATCTCTCAAGAAAATGAGCTCCTATTGCTGAAATGAATGTTTCTTAACCACTTGGCCTCAAAATATGCTAAGAAAATCTGGGCTGGCTGGTAGCTCTGCTTTTTCTGTGTAGAAAGGAGTTAAAATTGATTC